CATCAAACGCATGCAGTCTCATAAAACATACATTTATAAAAGCTTTTGTGCAAACCACTGCTGATGTGATGAAGTGGGTCATAGTGGAATCAGGGGTGAAGATATGAGTTACCTTTAGCCACAGGGATGACAGGCTCCTCTGGCTGCAACAGGTGGAGGTATATGGATTGTCGGCCCATCTCAACCCAGTTACTGTGGCTGTAGAAGTCCTGGTAAACACGTTAGACAGATGTGAGGCTTTTCCAGCACATATCTAAACAAAAATCTTTTGTAATCTTTATGAATGAACAAGTCTTCAACATTTCACATCTTACATTTGACTAGTGTATGAAGTAATGCAGGTTTTATTACCATTGTACTTTATACACAGTTATCTTTTGTTGTCCTAATTTGCGGTGCTGCTGTGTACCTGCAGGGAGTGAAATAGCTGTCCCAAACTGTGACGGGCACTTTGGTACTCTTTGGCCCGCACTGAGAGCAGAGTCTGGGCCCAGAACTGCCGTAACATCACCGTGGAGCTGTCCACGCGCTCTGAATCAAAGTGGTACACCGGGTCAGACCTGGTGGAGCTCAGGAAGTCCATGGCAGCATTGGACTTCACCACCTCTCCCACAGCTCTCCGGAAGCCACGGCCTAGTCTAGTCTGGGATTGACAACTTTGTTACAGTCTTTGGAATGAGATTTAGTTCTGTGTTGCATATATGAACTCTTATAGTCAAGCTCTTATGAAATCATTTGTGTAAAATATATTGTTGGCCACTGATGTTGGTTCACTTCAGTCATACGTGGCCCTGAGAGCTCAGACTAAAGTGTCCCAGCCATGTTCATCACTTTGTAATGTCTGCTGGAAACACTTTGATGTGTCACAAATATTTGACTGTGTTGCAGTGATGTTTCCTCCATTTGCATGTGTCTTTTTGCTTGTTTTCTCTGGGCCACCGTAATGACCTCAATACTGATATCTGATATGATTTAATGAGTCTATAAACCAAAAGAAAGTCTCTTATACTGTATTCTAAACTGAATGTACAGTAAACATCCTGACTCAGCTCACCTGTTCTTCTGCAGGGCTTCCCTTCAGCGTCTCCAGGGTGACATTTAGAATGGACTGCTCTGTGATATATTGGTGCGTGTGTGAGTCCCAGGACAGCGTTAACACTCGAGACCAAAAGTTGGGGAGGAAGCCCATGCATGGTAAAGGCAAGAGGAGAAGGTAAGGGAGAACAAACCAGCACATAAGCTTCCCACCTCCTTCCCAGATTCTTCCCATTGGCATTATGTCGTGGAGACGTTCTTAGTAGGTCACATCCTACCTGCATAAAATAAAAGGCCTTTGCAGTCAGTTGCAACACAAGTTCCCTCTTGTATTCAGTTTCATGGCATGTGATATAGACTGAATAGATGCTAGATAGCTGTCACATTTCAACCATTGTTCGTACAGAAGTATTCACCAATGTAGCTTAAATAAATATAATTTCATCATTTAAAGGGAGGGTTGGTTTTTATTGTATGTGTTGAAATCCTCTTCATGTCCTGACAGCTACTGATAAATATAATCATCTAAAAGAAAAAAGCTGGTGTCTGTGGCCCATCACAGGTCAGTAATTAACACGACCAGTCATTTCCTCCAAACAAAATGAAATGATTGGCTGGTGAACCTGAAGCAGAGATGAGAGACGGAATTTAGCCAGCAAACATGTTGGCTTCTAATTTTTTTGTGGCGTAGCTTTGACGAGATAGCCAGTTTAGCATGCTCTCGTTAGCTTTTCCAGGATTACCAACCCTAGCTTTAAGCTGTATTTGATACTGCTATTGTCGCTATTGCTATCATTGAGCCATGTTCAAAACGTTATTCATTGAAACATTTGAAATTCAGCTGAGTTGACTCAACATCACCAAACAAGTCCTTTACTTATTCATGATTTCATCACATGAAAAGCAGTTCCCTCTCTCTGAGTGATATATGAAGTGACCTGTCCCCTTTTGTTCAGAGGAGGTTTGTGCTGATTTGAACAGCCTATTCCAGTCATCCAAGTGTGCTTTTCTGTCATCACCCACTTCTTAACAATTGCCCCACCCCAAAACCTCCTCCCATTTTTGCCAGCTATGTCTGTACAGAGCCCCCTATTGTTCTTTGCCCACTTTATTCAGATACAATACTTAGGTTTTGTTCCCACAGTCTGTGCAGGGAGACACCGAAACAAAGCACCAGGCCTATAAACAACAGCTCCCTCCGCTCTGCCTCAGCCTCTATTCAGCCAATCCGTTTCAGTTGATCAGTGTGGTGTCCCAATTGATGAGTGCAAGTACTCATTCATTTATTCTGCAGGAATGATACAGTTTTAGATACTTGTCTACAGGTTATTAAACAAGGTTTTCGATTTTAACACCTCCAATCAGTACAGCTTGTGTGCTGTGGTTCACATTAAACAGCTTTTCATCATCTGTTGCTTAGTTTGTCCATTAATACTGAGGTAGTAAAACAGTAAATTAACTACAAGAGCTTAATTTTGCACCAAACCTCCTCTTTCATAATGCTGCAATAATGTAGTTAAGTGTGTGTGTGTGTGTGTATTTTTAATTTATAATGCAACTTCAAACATTTCTGTAAAATTGCACGTATAATCTAAAAAGTTAATCAAAATAAAAACGCTCTCACCTCAGTTCATCTGGTTAGACTCCTTCTCGTTAGACTTTGCTCAGATGTGCATTTGGCAGAGATGTCTCCGTTACAGTGCACAGGAACGCAGCACATGTAAATTCATATAACCTGTGAGCAGAGGAAGCTGTGGCTATCACAGCATTCTAGTTTGTGTAATAAAATTATTTAGTCTTAACATTTGTCGGTCCTTGGGCTCTCATCCCCGGTTGGCTCCTCAGTAAGAAGAATAACAACTAAGATAAGAATGGAAGAAGCACTTTGTTGAGCTCGGACGAGGGTCTGGTTGACACTGCGCGGTCTTGGGTGTGTTTCTTATTGAGGGGGGCACACAGTGAGACAGAAGACGTCCCGTCATAGCTCTCCTAAAGCCTCATGCCCCTCCTTACCCCCCATTATTGCATGGTGCATTGATTTACCACAAAAGGGCCGCATACATTATCAGCCAGGGTATTTGACTCAGGCCTATCCCAACCCACCCCCCCACCCCCCTGCCCTCTCTGTCTCCATCACTCTTGCTTTTCTAGTGACACCAAAAAAAGACTTCTGCTTTTCACAACTGCTAACACCACAGCTCCTTCCTCACTACCTAGTTACCCACCATTTTAATGGCAATGCAAAGAAGGGCATCAGTTGCCAGCCAACGCAGAGGACAGTGTTGAACCTTGGGGGACTGAATGTGATGAAATGAACTGAGCATTCTTAAGCTTTGGTCTTCTGTTGTTTTGGAGCTTTGGCTGTTTCTCAACAACATTTTTCAAGAGATCATCTAGTTTTCCAGAGCAAAAATAAGACGTTGTTGCTGTAGTTGTGGTGAACCAAGAAAACACCTACAGAACCAATAAAAGATGAGTCAAAACATTTAGACATTGCGTGTTGTATGTAGGACCACCCACATGTTTCCAGACAGAAAAGCCAGAGGTGTAACGTTTTTTTACTGAACCTCATAAGCACTGAAAGAAGGCTGCAAATTAGGTTATTGCATGCTTCCTGTTCACTTGTGGTAAGTTACCCCAGATTTATTTTCTGTGCTGATGGTTTGAGAAGACGATTTTGCTTCAGCCAGATTATCCTCACAGAACAGTTGAACCACCACCAGGTTTGCAATCACAACCTCTACTTTTCATTTCTTGGAATTGAATGTACACACTGTCAATTTTTTTAGTTAAAAATGAAGCTGTACAAAATGCAGAACAAGATTTTTGACATGATGTAAAGTTCAGTCAACTTAGGTATTTTATTTGATCATGGATACAGACTTTTGAAAGCTGACAAAGAGCAAACTTTCAAAGAAATACACTTGTGGAATAGTATAGTTTGTAGTATATCGTGCACTATCTGTTACACTGTCTATCTGTTTACACCTTTAAATAAACAGAAAGTGTCTCAAAAGAAATTTCTGGACGGGACACCAAATAGATATAGAGATAAATAACTTAAGGGTTGTACCAGCATGTTCAAATTTTTTAAATAATTATATTGCTAGTCATAATAATAATTATACCAGAGCTTTGAGAAAACTTCATGAAACTTTATGCTTTGACTTTTTAGTTTGGTCCATATCCCATCCACTGATATGGAGGAGGCAGAATTTACAACCTTTATTGCAACCAGTGATGATGTGGTGATCGAGACACTTCTGCTTCACTTTTTGGGAGCAGTAATTCATCTTTATATACAGTCTATGGTATAAACACTGTCCTTGTCAGGACCAGAAGACCCTGTGGAGACCAAAGCTTGGTCCTAATGTGGCAAAATGTCAATACTAAAGTTCAGTCAGAAAACTCACATTCAAATGTTTATTGCAGCAGTAGAACAGGTTTCTGTTTGGGATGGATTGATGGATGATTTCTATAGATAACAAAAAAATGTATTACCTCTTTACCATGCACACCATTCCTAAATAAAAATACACTTACAGAAGTCCATTAAGTCAACAAACATCAAAAACATAGTTAGTTATGATGAATAATAGATGGGCATCATGCAAAGGACAGAAATTGATTCTCAAACAATTGGCACAATAAACTGAAACAAACTGACTGGTGGATGGAAGCATTGTCTCAAACATAACATTGGCTGGATACACCCAGACTAGGGATGTCCAATCTGAAATTTTGGTGCCACTATTCTTGTCAGAGGAAATATCACGGTTTCCCCATTTTCACAAATATTTATACAGGAGACGGAAAAAGACACACAACAAACAATATATAGCTAATGAAGTAAACTATGCATTTTTATCATCAACAATATCCAGGTAGTTTTTTTATAGAGTAACGTTTGGCTATTTAAGAGTAATTTATGTAAGTTATTTTATTTAGTGTAGCTGTATGGGACTTTTATTCTGAGGGGTCACCGACGGAAGTTCTGCTTAGGGAGCGAGGTGTTGACTCGCAGTGAAAAAGTAAAACAGGTAAACTGTCCAGACACATTGTTCATGTCCTTATCAAACTGTTGCTGCCTCCATCATAGCTGATGAAACACTCGGCTACAGTTAAAATGGCTGATACGATGAGAGAGAGTGAGAGGTGTGTGTGTGTGTGTGTGTGTGTGTGTCAGCCACTCCTTGGGAGTTGGTCAGAAACCGGAAGTAGAAAAAGGATTTGTCCTATTGTAAACTCGACCGTTGAAGTTTTACGACAACCGTTGGTGGAAATAAAAACCGTTACTCTATGTTCCCTCTTCTCAACCGCCGCTTCAGTGGCTGAAACGTAACTCGAGAGAGACCACAGACAACCACAGACCTTCAATTACCAAAAATCACAGACAGGTAAATTCCTCCCCTGACCTCACAGAATGAGCCTTCAGGTTCTCTCTTGTCCACTGTGTCCCGGTGTGTCCCGGTGTGTCTCGCTGTGTCTCTGACACTCGCATTGTCTGTCTTTTCACAGGGAGAGCTAGCTTGACTGTGTGACGTGCTAAAGTGACATAATGGACTACTCTGGTCTACTAACTGACACCAAGAAGCAAGGTACACAGCTGTCCTACTGTACAACCAATATTTTCTTTATGTTTTAATCCCCCAGAAAGTGGATTTGCTAACTCTTCTTTCTAAACAACGGCCTCACACATTAGACTGGCCTGTACATTTTATAACAGTTACCTCATTTTTAACTATTAGCTTGCAGGAACCACAAATCGATTTGACTAATATTTGAAGAGCAGTTGCCTCATTCTCAGTGATTGATTCTGTTTTTGGTTGAAGATTTGATAATTTTAACCTTGGGTGTTTGGGCTCTGATACAACTGGATGCGTAATTTGAAGACCTGAAATTCAGCTCCAGTACCTTCTGTTGTCTAGTACTGAGGCTAAGACATTTATTGATTCATTGATTTTTATTATTGATAATTTATTGCCTCATTGTTGATTTCTCTGTATGTGCATAAACATTAAGGGGAGTGTGAATATCTTGTCTGGTATGTGCTGATATTTGTCCATGCAAGTGTGTGTTTTGGGGCTTTAGGGTGGCAGGAGAGGGTTTTTTAAAACAACTTTAAACCTCAAAGTAAAATATACATATTTTTGCTTTAAGGGAATCGAAAATTTCTGTTCAGGAAATCTGTTCCAGTTCACTGTGTTTACATCTGTTTGCCGTTCAGTTCCCCTGAAGAGCATTGAGGTGGAGCTGGAGGTGAGGGACCATGTGGCGACAGTGGTCTCCACTCTGAACTACGAGAACAAGGAGGACAAACCTCTGGAGGCTGTTTTTGTCTTCCCTCTGCCTGGAGACGCTGCTGTCTGTCACTTCAGTGCTCAGATTGGACAGACACAGCTTGTAGCTGTGGTTAAGGAGAAACAGAAGGTGAGCTGGACAGTGACGTCTCACTCACAGTGATGGATCTTAAAAAACAGATCTTAAAGTAAAACACAGAGAATGTTGCTCACGTGTGTCGTCTGTGTCCTCAGGCTCATGAGGAGTATGATGATGTGCTGAGCTCCGGACAGCAGGCCTTCCTGTTAAAGGAGAGCGAGCAGAGTCCAGATATATTCACTCTGAGTGTGGGCAGTCTGCCTCCAGGAGAGAGCGCCTCCCTCAGGCTGGAGTACGTCACTGAGCTGGCTGTGCAGGCGGACGAGGGGCTGAGGTTTTGTCTGCCTGCTGTGCTCAACCCTCGCTACCAACCTCAAGGTAGGAGGGCCAGCTAGCACTTTGAACCATTTTACTGAAACAGTCAATTACCATGTGACATGATTGTATGCATGTCAGTTGGCATTATTGTAAATGGACTGTATTTATATAGCACTTTTCGAGTCTTATCAACCGATGACGTTGAACAGTACAAGTTGCATTCACCCATTCATACACTCAGCACTTCTTTAGGCCCACCATTCATACAATGCCGACACAGCAGTCAGGGGCAATTTGGTCTTCAGTTCCTTGCCTATTGGAATGCAGAATGGACCTCCTCAGCCACAGCCGCCACAGTAGTACTAGGAAAGAGGCCTGATATGGTGTCATGCATGGCTCTGGGTTTTCACATAACTTGGGATTTGATAGTACATTTTTCTTATTTTTGGACATGCTACAGCTGCATGGCCCGAGAGATGACAATGGCAATGTCAGTCAGTTGTTTGGCATCTGGTGAAATGTCATATTACATATGACATATTAATCGTGTCTGGAGGATGAATCACCATTTGTCCAGTGCTTTGCTTTGTTACCAACAGCCAGCAAATGCCAGCATAATAATATAGGACATGAAGTCAGCATGCTACATAGTTTAATGGCTATACACAGCCATCCTTGAATAGCCACTAGCATCTTGTTTTAGTTTGCCCTGTGCCTTTTACTGAGATTTTGCTTAAATGAAATATAATGCATTTTTGATCATTTCTAATTAAAGGTAGTGAAGGTACCGGTGTGCAGGTGACCTCTGTTCCAGCCTCTCTGGTTCCCTACAGTCTGTCTTTTTCTGTCCGAGTGTCGTCTCCTCGTCCAGTCTCTAAAGTAGAGTCCAGCTCCTCTCTGGAGCCTCTCCAGTACGTCAACACAGAGCAGACCCAGGCCACGGTAGGAAGACTGCTCCCATGTCTGCTGTGTGTGGTTGTTCCTCAGCACTGAGAGCTACGTATATAACTGTGTTGATTTTTATGAGTGTGCTTTGTGAACTGCAGGTCAAGTTGGCTGCAGGACACAAGTTTGACAGAGATGTTGAGCTGCTGATTTATTACAAAGATGCTCACCAGCCCACTGCTGTGGTGGAGGCAGGACAGGCCTCTGCTGAACCTGGTGAGTGAAAACTAGTCAGGTTGTTATTGCCCGACATTGGGAGTTGTTCATCSTCATCATCAGACAYGTTGGAATAAATKATGTTTCAGGGAGTCTGATGGGTGACCCAGTCGTGATGCTGAGCCTGTACCCTGAGTTCCCCCAGTCTGTGATGTCTTCACTCGCCTCATGTGGAGAGTTCGTGCTCCTACTGGATCGATCTGGGAGTATGGGTTGTCCGAAAAGTGACATCAAGCAAACAGAAAATCGAATTGCCAGTGCAAAGGTATTCAGCAAGTTTATCTGTCATCAAACCTTTCATAGTGACTCACACACAGTTTTCTTCACCATCTTTTCTCTGCTTTCCTCAGGATACTCTCATGCTCCTGTTGAAGAGCTTACCAATGGGCTGCTACTTCAACATCTACAGTTTTGGCTCGAGCTTTCAACACATCTTCCCGTAAGTCACCTCACATCCACACAACAGATCTCTTCCTGTCCTTGTTGTTAATGCTTGTGAATGTGTGTTTGCATGTGTACATGTATGTGTGTGATGGCAGTAAGAGTGTGGAGTACAGTGAGAAGAGCTTAGAAAAGGCTCTGAAGATAGTC